TATATTTCACGATCTATCTATCACAGTCTGCTCGTATTTATCTATCTCAATATGTTCATCATCTATCTATCTATCTATCTATCTATCTATCTATCTATGTACTGTCTGTTCATTATCTATCTATCTATCTATCTATCTATCTATCTATCTATCTATCTATGTACTGTCTGTTCATTATCTATCTATCTATCTATCTATCTATCTATCTATTGCTGTTTGCACGTATCTCTCTATATGTAGGTTTATGTTTTTATTTATTTATTTTTTTATCCCATCTATAGTCAGTTCTTGAATATACAAAAAAATAAAGAAAGAAAGAATGGTGTATGTGTTTGTTATTCACACTTTTAGACAAATTTAATAAAAGGACAATCTTGTTCACAATTAAGAACGCCGAACCTCTGCGCGTGAAAGATGAAGGCCATGACCTATATAGAATCGATACACAAAAAGTCATTTCCGTATCCCGCCACCTCAGTATACCTTCGACCTATTTCTGTTTCCGTACCAGAGTGTAATATTTAAGATGCCGTCGGAATCAGTCATTGCAACGAGTAGATCCCTCATTTGGTACTCTGAAAATATAGCCTTGTTCCAGACTTGTTGATTAAACAAGAAAATCACTCGATCGTGCATTCCATCCACCACCTCTCCCACTCTTTCCTGATACACACACACACGCATATATATATATATATATATATACATATATATATATATATATATATATATATATATATATATATATTCATGTGAATGTTTTATGTTGCTTACCCCATTCCAAACAATGATGTTTGTCCTACTATGTCATTTACCATATTCCTAACATGTATCTATCTACCTACAGAATAGTACATTTTAGCGATATAGTTGCTGTAGTCGGCGCCCTCGAACTAGTAGGAGGCAGAGGGGGGGAGGAGAAGAACCTCTATCGGCCTACTAGTGCCTTCGCTGACTGACTGCAATTCTGCTCACTCTAAAAGAATCCGCAGAGGTACAGGCGGGGGAGAGGTTGGTGCGTGATTCTGACAATAGTAGTCAATCTGGTATGCTTACCTACCAATCAAGTACCAAACGAGTTATGTACCTATGCGTAGCTATTTACAGGGTACGCATTGTTGTAGAAAGACGTACGCATTTTCTATTCCAAATCACAGTTATTACATTATTGTATATTAACTAATAAAACTTCACATATATATATATATATATATATATATATATATATATATATATATATATATATATATATGTATGTATGAACAGGCTACAGTTGTTAATACTAGTAGTATATAAATAGATACGATATTGGATCAATAAGTCCGTTTCCTGACACAGTTAATAGCGGAATTTTGATCTGAAATTTGTCTCAGGTTTGGTGTATGCGCTGAATGGAGAAGCGGCTTTGGATTATGTGCGTTGACAGAGACGGAAATTTTTGTACAAAATAATAACATGTTTATTTTTTATTTTTTTGTTAAGCGATGAACTGATTGAGCTACCTACACTTTTTCTTTCTTTTTATATATATATATATATATATATATATATGTGTGTGTGTGTGTGTGTGTGAGAATATATAGAAAATAGGAAGGAACTGGTTAGGTAAATAATCCAAAGTCCCTTAGTATTTTAGTTATTATTTTAAAAAATAGAGCTCGATACAAAAGTAGAGTATATATATATATATATATATATATATATATATATATATATATATATATATATATATACACTCACGAGAGTATGCTGTAAAAGCTTTGGACCAGACTCACTTTCAAAAATCTTATATATATATATATATATATATATATATATATATATATATATATATATATATATATATATATATATATATATATATATATATATATATATATATATATATATATATATATATATATATATATATATATATATATATATATGTATATATGTATATATATATATATATACTATGGTTATAATACCCTTTTCTAAGAGCCATGTATGTAGAAGGTTGCAGCTGAAAATTTTGTAAGATCGTTCAAGGCGATTTCTAAAAGGTAAATATTCAGAAGGTTACATATGAATATATATAATATATATATATATATATATATATATATATATATATATATATATATATATATATATATATATATATATGTTTCTAAAGTGCCTATGGATTTATTTTTGAATCCTGAATATTTATCACGTTAATCTTATTTTTTAGTGGATACTCATGTTTGAAAAAACGTCTTTCTTTTTTGTTTTGTTTCTTTGGGTTTTTTTTAACAACTAAGATTGATAGATACAACGTTTATAATAAAAATTATAACACGCTGGGTCCATTTCAAATACGAGTATCAACTAAATTGCGTTTGAATATATATATATATATATATATATATATATATATATATATATATATATATATATATATATATAGTTTCGTTACAGACGACTGACAAGGTACTGCGATTAAGCTTTTATTTTATTTTCTCCTTTTCATACAAGTGTTTTGTTTCAGTCTTCTTTAAATAAACTTAAATAAAAGAAGGATTACTGCCAAATACATATATATATATATATATATATATATATATATATATATATATATATATATATATATATATATATATATATATATTGGTGCCTTCTAACAACATGGTACCTCAAATGTGTGTGTGTGAGAGAGAGAGTGAGAAAGAGAGTTTATACAACAGCATCCCAGGTTTTTGAATATTTTACATGTTATTGTCCTGTTTTTTACGATACAATTCTTGCCGTCGATGTCGTTAAATGGACTTAATGTATATCTTTTGTTTTCTATGTGTTTTTCTTTTTCGTATCTGTTATGGGTTTTTTTAGAATGTTTATTCTGTCTTGTACATTATTTGTTATTTTTAAATGTGACTGTGACAAGAACTAATAGCAATGAAGGCTTCGCCATTCATGAAGCTGGAATTAGTTTTACGGAAACACTGGAATCGATATGACTTACGAAACATACCTTAGGATCGGTAAGTGGCAATGTTTAATAGAGTATCCAGCGAGGATCGAACCCTTGGTCAATAGGAAAAAGAGGCCATTTTTATTAATAACTGCTTTTTCTGATTATCTCTCAATCAGATATATCGTTATGTAGGTCAGAAAGAAAGAAAGGAAGGAAGAAAGAAAGAAAGAAAGGAAAAAAGGAACGAACAAAATAAACCTGAAAGAAAGAAAAAAAAGAATGAAAAAGCGGTGTACTAAAGAAAGAAAAAAGAACGAAAGAAACGAGAAAGAAAGAAAGAAAGAAAGATGAGAAAGTAAGAAAGAAAAATGAAAAAAGGAAAGGAGGAAACTAGAATAAAGGCAAAGAGATTTAAAAAGACGTGAAAGAAAGAAAGAAAGAAAGAAAGAAAAAGAAAAGAAAGAAGGAAAGAAAGAAAGAAAGAAGAAAGAAAACGAACGAAAAACGATAAACCTGAAAGATAGATGAAAAAGAAAAACTGTACTAAAGAAATAAAGAAAGAAAGAAAGAAAGAAAGAAATTTAAAAGGGAGCTGAGAAAAAGAAAGAAAGTATAAAAAGGAAAAGGAAAAGAATAAAGGCAAAAAAGATTTAAAAACGAAAGAAAGAAAGAAAGAAAGAAAGAAGGAAGAAGAAAGAAAGAAAGAATGAAAAGAAAGAAAAGGAACGAACAAAGGATAAACCTGAAAGATAGATGAAAAGAAATGAAAAAGATATTAAAAAAGAAGAAAGAAAGAAAGAAAGAAAGAAAGAAAGAAAGAGGGATGAAAAAAAAAGAAAAGTATGAAAAAGGAAAGCGAGGAAACTAGAATAAAGGCAAAAGAGATTTAAAAAGACGTGAAAGAAAGAAAGAAAGAAAGAAAGAAAGAAAGAAAGAAAGAAAGAAAGAAAGAAAGAATGAAAGAAAGAAAACGAACGAATGAACGATAAACCTGAAAATAGATGAAAAGAAAGAAAGATTGTACTAAAGAAAGAAAGAAAGAAAGAAAGAAAGAAAGAAAGAAAGAAAGAAAGAGGGAGCTGAGAAAGTAAGAAAGAAAAGTATGAAAAAGGAAAGCGAGGAAACTAGAATAAAGGCAAAAGAATTTAAAAAACGAAAGAAAGAAAGAAAGAAAGAAAGAAAGAAAGAAAGAAAGAAAGAAAAGAAAGAAGAAAGAAAGAAAGAAAGAATGAAAGAAAAACGAACGAACAAACGATAAACCTGAAAGATAGATGAAAAAGAAATGAAAGAAGCGGTGTACTAAAGAAAGAAAGAAAGAAAGAAAGAAAGAAAGAAAGAAAGAAAGAAAGAAAGAAAGAAAGATATAAAAAAAGGAAAGAAAGAAGTGACAGACAGACGGACGGACGGACGAAGGAAGGAATGAAGAAAGCCAGGAAGGAAGGAAAGTAGAATAAACATGAAGGATAGATAAAAAAAATTATTGAAAGAATGATTGTGGTAAAGAAAGAAAGAAAGAAAGAAAGAAAGAAAGAAAGAAAGAAAGAAAGAATGAATGAATGAAAGAATGAGGGAGCTAAGAAAATTAGAATATACCTGAAAGTTAAAAAAAGTGGAAGAAAGATTATACTAAAGACAGAAGAAGAAAGAAAGAAATAAGAAGGAAATCAGGGTGATAGGAAAGGAAGGAAGGGAATGAAGGAAGGAAGGAAGGAAGGAAGGAAGGAAGGAAAAAAGAACATGATAGAGAAAGAAAGAAAGAGCAAAAGATAAAAGAAAGAAAGAACAAGATAGTGAAAGAAAGAAAGAGTAATAGAAAGAAAAAGAAAGAAAGAACGAAAGATAACTTCATAGCAATAGTTAAATAGAAAGGAAGGAAGGAAGGAAGGAAAAGAGAGAACAAGATAATGACAAGAAGAGCAATAGAAAGAAAGAGAAAGAAAGAACGGCGATAACTTGATAGCCATAGTTACATAAGAAAGAGAGAAAGAAAGAAGGAAGGAAAAAAGAACAAGATAATGAAAGAAACAGCAATAGAAAGAAAGAGAAAGATAGAAAGATAACTTGATAGCCCTAGTTAAATAAGAAAGAAAGAAATTAAAAAAGAAAGAAAGAAAGAAGAAAAATGAACAAGATAGGGGAAGAAAGAAAGTGCAATAGAAAGAAAGAAAGAAAGAATGAAGGAAGGAAGGAAGGAAGGAAGGAAGGAAGGAAGGAAAGTAGAATAAACGCAAAAGAGATTAAAAAAGACGTGTAAGAAAGAGTGTACTTAGCAAGAAAGAATGAAAGAAGGGTAGCGCTAAGGAAGGAAGGCAAGAAAGTAGAATAAATGCAAAAGTCATAAAAAGGGATGTGAAAAAAAGATTGTACTAAAGAAAAGAAGCAAGCTAGAAAGAAAAACGAAAGAAAAAAGCAAGCAAGAAAGAAAGAAAGAAAGAAAGAAAGAAAGAAAGAAAGAAGGGTAGCGCTAAGAATGGAAGAAATAAAAGGAAGGAAGGAAAGAAGGTAAGAAAGCAGAATAAACGCAAAAGATAGATAAAAAAGGACGAGAACAATTGTACAAAAAACAGTAGAAATAAAGAACGAAAGAGAGAAAGGTAGAAAGAAAGAAATGAAAGAAGGAAAGAAAGAAACTTATGATAAATACACTCCAAAGAGAGAGAGAGAGAGAGAGAGAAAGAGAGAGGGAAAGAGAGAGAGAGGAGGCACGGTGAGTAATGGATATGGCTTTGGATTGAGGAATCGCAGAGCCGAGTTCGAATTCCAGTCGAATCCATGACATTCACTTTACGTGCTAATTCCCTTGGGAAAGGTATGAATTTTTCTTCCCTCCCTCCAGCTATGGGTAAAATAGCAGGACAGACTGGGTTCTATAGCCTTGGATGGCAACTTGTCTAGGAGAAGGACAACTCTGAATTCAAAACCTGGTGGAGGGTCGTTTGGGAACCTTGTGGCATTCGGTGCACCAGTCTCTGTATTCGTCCCTTCAAAAAGTGTGGATGGTCCTGCACGAGGCCTTCACAACTATAATCAAATCTCATGTGCCGGTGTCGGGCTGTCGGTTTCCTGGAAACTGATGTGCTTGGCCCTCATACGTGGAATCTCGACGGGAGAGTCGATTATATATATATTGAATTTTAGAGACATATTATGTGTATTTATTTTTTACTGATCCTTTCCATTTCTCTAATCAGTTTTTTGATGTGAAGACAAAGTTCATCAAGGGAGGCGCCGTAGTTTTATTTTTTTATTTTTTTACCAAGTACTTTCGATCTCCCCCCAAGATCATCCTCAGGGTTAAATTACAAAGAAAAACTTATTCCACATATGGGAAATAGTCTATTTTGGCAGACGAAGATATCGGTCGTTTGTCCTATCAACCCCGGTGTGGACTGAGTTCATGTCAGAAATAGAAATTTTACTATGAAAACTAAAAAAAGAAAAAAAAGAATACTACCAATCTAAAAACAAATACAGAATTTATTCATTTCAATGTTTCAGTCAGACGAAAGACACGAGACAGGGGTCAGTGGGGATGTAAGTTATTTGTCTTAAAGGGAAAAAGTTTTATAAAATTAAACCCGAATATTAACCATATGACATTAATTTGGAGTTAAATGAAGAATGAAATATTTATTTAAAATTAAAAAAGAATAAAACGAGGTTTAAAAATAAATTTAAAATATATAGATAAAAGGATGTAAGAGATTAACGAAAAGAGAGTTGGGGAGATCTTAAAGTAGTGGAAAGTTGATAAATTATAATTAATATAGGTAAAGAGGTCAAAGAGAGGGGAAATAAAGAAAATAGAATTAGTTATATATTCAACATTTGAAGAGTTAGTGGGGAGTTAATATTATGGAAATATAGTAGCTAATTAAGTTAAACCTATATTATGGAAATTTGAATTTGTTTTTATGTCGACATTTTAACACTAATTCATTCCTGTGATTTAATAGTTGGCTTTGATTATTGTAATTTATTATTCTAATTTTTCTTTTTAAACATAAGTCATACCTATCTTCAATAACTATTAGGAGTACGTGCGGAACCTATAATTCTCCAAACTTTCTGTGGGTTCAAACTGTTCCCATTCAAATCCCAAAGTTTCTTTGAAAGAACTGTCTGGTGTTTTAGTTCAGGGTTAGAAAATGATTTGTGACCTTTATATATATATATATAATCAAGCAGAAAACCTTAAAGATTAATTTCGGTTATAATTTATTTCGTGAATATTTATATATTCATCTCTACAGACCAAAATCTTTTGGCAAAATCTTGAGCACTCCTGATTAATATCCTCCTTGGAATTATCCCCACCAGTCTCAAATTGGTGATATATATATATATATATATATATATATATATATATATATATATATATATATATATATATATATAGTTTTAAGGTGTGCTATATTTATCGGATAAAGTGCTCAATATCAGAGATAGAGTGTATGTAAATATAAAAGTGAACATTCAAGTCAACACTTAGAGACGAAAGGATGTTTCATATTAGGGCGCAATCGTCAGGCGGCCTATATATATATATATATATATATATATATATATATATATATATATATATAAAGACAGGCCGCCATCAGGATTTTTCGTATCTATTCTTCTTATTTACATTATTTGCACTACACTGTTATCCTCATCTTCATTGCAATATTCACAACCTTTCGGTCGTTCAGTATTTACATTAGTCGGACTATTGTCCTCATCTTTGTCACAACGTTTCGGCCGTTGTAGGTTCCAGGTGGTTGGAATTTCGAACTGAACCCTTTATTATCTCCTGCTCAATGACACATGGCACAGTGGATAAAGGCGTTGGTTAGATCCAGTGACAGACCCAAAGAAGGTGAGTTCAATACCTGGTTAAGGCAGTGGAGAACTTTCAGAGGGAAAATTAGCAGGAGATAACTGATAACTGACATCCATCAAACATGGCACGTGGAACTAGAACAGTCTACCCCAGTGATCGAAATAAAGGGTTCAGTTCGAAATTCCAACCACCTGAAGAAGGCCAGAGCGTACAACGGCCGAAACGTTGTGACAAATATGGCGACAAAGATGAGGACAATAGTCCGACTAATGTAAATACTGTACATAATACCTCATCTCAGAAATATAGACAGACTCTTTCGGTCGTTGTATGCTCCGGAAGAACACATGGCCTAGGGGATAAAAAAACGTTGGTTATATCCAGTGATTTGACCCAAAGAGTTGTGAGTTCAATACCTGGCTACTGTAGTGGTGAACAAAAAAACTTAAAGGTAAATAACTGAAACATCCGGAAGAGGCATGTCCCTTGAAACTAGGACAATGGACGAAATAAAGGATTTGGTTCGAAATTCCAATCACCTGATGAAGACCGGAGCGCACAACGGCCGAAACGTTGAAAATATGAAAATGAAGATGAGGATAACAGTCCGAATAATGTAAATAATGTAAATAATCATAATAACTCATCTTATTCTTGATTACAGATTCGTAGTCTTTTGCGCGTAACACAACTGCCCGGGCGGGGGGGGGTGGTTACGGAGGGTCTTTATAATTGAAGGGCGGGAGTTGAAATTTTTATCAGTATGCAATAAACTATGCTGGAGTGGGGGGCCCTTAATGAAAGGGTCGGTCGGGAAAATCATTTGCAGGATCAAACAGCGGGAGATTAATAAACGGATTGGTCTTAATAAACTGGGTGGGGTCGGAAGTTTTCCTCTGGGTGAATTAATGTTTACGTTCGTATTTATATATCTCAAAATGTTTATATCCATATTGAATCCGATCTCTCTCTCTCTCTCTCTCTCTCTCTCTCTCTCTCTCTATTTCTGTCTCTTTCATCCTTTCTGTCTCTCATCTCTATCTCTCTCTCTCTCTCTCTCTCCCCCTCTCTCCACCTCTATCTCTTTCTTTCTGCGTGGGTGTTGGGTGTAAGTAAACTTTGTGTCATTAGGCTCCAGATTGTCTGTCATAAAGGGCAGTGCTGGGTGTTCAATCTTATGTCGAAAAAAATGTTCTTATTCCAAATATTGATTTTTTTTTTCTTTTATAAGCAGGCCCTCCCCTTTCGGAAGATTGACGCAGCATAATCTATTTCAACTTTAGCCAGTTAGAGAGGAAATAATAATCTGAAGTTAGACTCATCTTCCAAACGTCGAGTATCCAGGATGTTATAAGGGGATAAGGGGAGGCCCAACACTTTGCTGAAACTGGGAATTAAAGGGAAGACTAATTTTATCTTCTTGGCCCCAAACTCTGTCCCTCTGGCCTCAAACTTTGTCCCCTTGGCATCAGACTTTGTCCCCTTGGCATCAAACTTTGTCCCCTTGACATCAGAGTTTGTCCTCTTGGCACCAAACTTTGTCCCCTTGGCCTCAAACTTTATTCACTTGGCATCAAACTGTATCCCCATAGCATCAAACTTTGTCTTCTTGGCATCAGACTTTGTCCTCAGCCTCAAACTTTGTCCCCTTGTCTTCAAACATTGTCCCCTTGGCGTCAAACTTTGTCCCCTTGGCCTCAAACTTTGTTCACTTGGCATCAAGCTGTGTCCCCTTGGCATCAAACTTTGTCCCCTTGGCCTCAAACTTTATTCACTTGGCATCAAACTGTATCCCCTTGGCATCAAACTTTGTCCTCTTGGCATCAGACTTTGTCCTCTTAGCCTCAAACTTTGCCCCCTTGTCTTCAAACATTGTCCCATTGGCCTCAAACTCTGTCCTCTTGGCCTCAAACTATGACAAATGCTATTCATTCATTTCATTATATTCAGCGCATTTTGCGGCGCCGCTGTGATCACCATTCACATCCATTTCACAATTGTGGTTCGTGGCGACGTTCAAGGCAGAATAATGCAATGGCTCCTTTTGCACCGGGGATGTTGAGGTCACCTCATCCTTCATCTCAGAGGTGTTTTTTTTTTTTAATTAGCATATTGTAGCCTTTGTTAAAAGAGGCAGGAGGTTGTTTGAATTTAGAGTTTCCTTCTCCTAGACTGGTCGCCATCCAAGGCCAGTCTATCCTGCTATTTTACCCTAGCCGGGGCGAGAAAAAGAGATGGATTCCTACCTTCCTCACGCAAGTGAATTCGAACTAGAATCTCCGATTCCTCAAACTGTATCATTCATCTAAAATCATATCTTTGGATTAAAGCAGAAAACTTCAATTTCCATATTATTTTTTTATTATTTATTTATTTATTTATATATATATATATATTCGAAAACTTAGCTGCAGAAAAAAATCTATAGATCTCATTCCAGGAAATAAAGTGGGTACTCCATACTTTCGACCTTATACCAAATGTGAGTTACGCTTTCTAAACTAAGCGACAAGTTGAGGTGGCGCAATAGCTAGCAACCTTGTCTCGTTAGATCAATTACAACTGAGTAGAGAATTCGATCCTCACTGGGAGCTCTTTACTTTCTGCCTTGAGCCACATATAAGCTCCGCTTAAAAAATCTTCTGGGCACTTTTTCATAGTGTAGTGGCTAGCAAACTTGTCTCGTTAGATCAATTACAAGTAAGTAGCGAGTTCGATCCCCATTGGGTGCTTTTTTTTTGGGGGGGGGGCCTTGTGCCACGTCTAAGCTACGCTTAGAAAGTCACCATTCCGGAAAGCAAGGAAACGCTAAACGCAAAAGAAAAGACAACAGGTTTATAAATTTAAAAATTCGTGAGAGGATTAGTTAAAAAAATAACTTTCATATCTTTAACCGAATCACCAATCTTTAAAAATAAAAATTAACATCTAACTTATTCTCACCACCACCACACCATAACAAATATTTTAGCATCTGATTTCGTTCATCATGATGTCGGATTGAAATTCCACCCACACTTTTTATTTTGTTGCTCCGAGCTTGCCTAGGCGGGGCGGGGGGTAGTCTTGCTTAGCAAAAACCAACCTTCGACATGCCGACCTTTACTAGATCCCGAAGACCAATGGAAACTGCGTAATTATTCCGGCTGCATGTCAGGTCACCTGTTCAGATCTGTCGCATTCTGCTCGAATCCCTGTTTACATCTAAACCTATTGACCTCCATTCATATCTACCTCTTGCTTCTTCTTCTCATATATATATATATATATATATATATGTTGTTATATGGTGTTCGTGTCTGTTATTCTCTATCGATTATCGTATCTTCTTAACCCCTTCGCATCTGCATCGTTCTCCTCGGGCGTACCACCCAATCGCAATCAACTTGTTATATTTTATTCTGTATATATCACGCAGTTCCTCTCTCTTGCACCCTGTTCGTATCTCGGGTAGTCAGTTCGTATCTATCGTCCTTGGTTCGTATCTGTCGCCTTTGGTTCGTCCATACCTCGCTCTAATGGTATCTATGTATCTGTCACCCTTTGTATCCATTTCCATCTGTTCGTATCTACCTCGCACTATTCGTATCTGTCACCCGATCTATCTCGTTTTGTTCATATCTGTCGCCCTTTGTTCGGATCTGTTTATTCCTTTGTTCGTAATTGTCGCCCTTTGTTCGTCTCTATCGTCTTCTGTTCGTGTCTGTCACCTTTGGTTCGTATCTATCTCGTTCTGTTCACAAGTGGTGACCTTTGTTCGTATCTGTCGCCTTTTGTTCGTTTATATCTTGTTCTGTTCGTATCTGTCGCCTTTTGCTTGTCTCCATTTCATTCTGTTCGTATATGTCGCTCATTGTTCTTAATTGTCGCCCTTTTTTTGTATCTGCCTCGTTCTGTTCATATCCGTCTCCCTTAGTTCGTATTTGTCCCCCTTGGTTCGTATCGGTCTCCCTTGTTTCGTATCTGTCCCCCTTGGTTCGTATATGTCTTGTTCTGTTTGTATCTGTCGTCCTTTGTTCGTATGTTACACACAGCATTATCTATTTCCTGTTCATGTCACGCTGTATCGTTCTGTTCGTATCTATCACGTACTCTTGTTCTCAATCTTTCCCGCTCTCTCTCTCTCTTTCTCTTACTCCCTCACACTCTCTCTCACATACTCTCTCTCTCTTTCTCTCTCATTCTCTCTTTTATCTCTGCCTCTCTCTCTCTCTGTCACTCCCCCTCTATTTCTCACTCTATCTCTTTTTCTCTCCCTCAGCATCTATCTCCTCCGTCTCTTCTTATCTATCTATCTATCTATCTATCTATCTATCTATCTATCTATCTATCTATCCTAACCATCTATTTATCTATCTATCTATCTATCTATCCTAACCAGTTCTTTATCTATCTATTCATCTATCTATCTATCTATCTATCTATCTATCTATCTATCCATCTATCTATCCTAACCATTTTTTATCTATCTATCTATCTATCTATCTATCTATCTATCTATCTATCTATCTATCTATCTATCTATCCTAACCAGTTCTTTATCTATCTATCTATCTATCTATCTATCTATCTATCTATCTATCTATCTATCTATCTCCACATGCTGGCGTATGGAATGCAACTAGATCCTTTTGTAATTTCTCGTCCCACTCATATGTCTATGTATTGTTGATGTTTATTTCATCAATATTAGTCCATTCCCCACCGCCACCATCACTACTACTTCTCTCTCAC